ACAGACAGACAGACAGACAGACAGACACGCACACACACACACACACACACACAGAGTCCTTAGAAAAGGTCTAATCAAGGAAACTAATTGAAAACACCTGTGTGGGCAAACCATGTGTTTGTAGAGTTATTTTTTCCATTCATACAGTATACATGGTGCATGTGTTATTTACAGTCACTGAGTCAGCTTTGGTCAAACTGGGCCATCTTGTGGCGATGACGAACACAGTCTTTATTAACTTGTTAAAGCATTTCCATTGATTTAAACAAAATTAAATTGTCAAAATGTTTTAATGCAGAACGTGCTTATCCATCCAAGCAAACAACAAAACATCCATTTTAATCCCCTCTCCGTACTGCAACAAAACAAACTCATAGCCATACTTGTGTTGCTTTTGGATGGAATAAAACTTCATTTCAAGTTAAACTTTTGAAATGAGCACCATTAAATAAAAAGCCTACAATGGGACATGGCATTACAATCTGCATAAACTCTCAGTGCCTGCTGCACTGAAGACATACAGCAGGTTTTGGTGACAGGCAGGATAAGACTGACCCATATTCCCTGCCTTGCCTTTCATAGAGAACTGAGGGTCTGGATCATGTGAAAGAGGGCGGGGGGGGAAGATATGCCAAAATGTCAGACCTACAGTAATCTCTTGTAGACGATATGGTGGTGGAGTAAAGCTGTCGTTCTCCGGACGGTTGAACTACATTCAATCTCTTTCAACGACTAATACATTCTCAATGAACAATAGACTATCCTAAACATTGTGATGTATAATTGCTTAGTGACAGTAGAGAAAATATACATTACATTTAAATACAAGCTATGTGGAGGACCTCCACAGCACCCATTGTTTATTTTCTTCATTGCACTCTGATTTCAAGTTTTTAACCCTTTCAGTACGATTAAACATTGTGATGATTAAGATCTAAGATCTATGGCAGAGTTAAGACCCCATATAACTTAAAATAATCACTGTCGATGATTAAAAAAAAAAAAAGTCCAGATCTGAGAAAAATCTAAAATGAACCCAGGAGACAACCACACAGAGCAATGAAGCTTTTCCTTTAAAATACTGTATGTCCATATATATTATATTAGGTGTAGCCTCATAAAATATTTGGCAGCCCTATCATTTGTTAAACAATCTTTAGTTCAGATAAAATACAAATACAAAATGCACCATCGCTGGATTTGTGCCAAAGGACGTGGCGATTATCTACAGCAAGTGCACTTGAGGATATTTCACAGTTCAAAACATTGCCTCGCTTCTGACAAACACAAGCAAAAACACAGGCTTGTGAACAATATAGGTGCTGACTGGCTGTTACAGTCTAGTTCGGTGCAGTTCGCAAGGCCGAGAATGGAACAATATGAGGGGGCTGTTGACCATAAAGTCTGTGAAAGTCAGTTTTTCCTGTCTGTTTATTCTGCTTTTTCTTTGCCACCGTCTACTGGCTTCACTGGCTCCGGATCCTCCAGCAGGGCTTGTTGTCTCTCTCTTTCCTTCACCAACTGCACGCCACAGTAGGTTACAAGTAACACTGAGAGGGTAGACAGGGGAAAGCCTGGAAGAAAAACACAAAGAGGGAAAGAGAGAGGAAGTGAAAGGGGAAAAAGAAATTAATGAGAAGAGAAAAGGAATACAGCTGTCATTGTGCTGTGCCCTGCGTAGATGTTCGGGATCATCCCCCAATGCTCTGTTGTTAAGATTCTTTTATTCTATGTGAAGGAAGGCAACAGGAGGATGTTAAGTCTTGTGATATCTGGAGGATGGTGCCCCTTGAGGTTCTGTTGCTTTTGATGTCTGTCTGTATCACTCTCGCTTTTATTAGAACTGACAGGAAAGCCTTAAAGTTTAATTTTATGTAATTTACCCTTGTTGTTTCCTACCTTTGGAAATCAGTCGTCTTCCCACCAGTTTGGCAAACTCCAGACTGTTCAGGGAGAGAACATTGTAGAGGACAATGGTCCAGAAGTTGGCAGCGTTGAACACACCCCGGATCCTGCGTGACATGGCTTCACCCATTGCACCCTGAAAAATGGGAAAAAATTACACATAGCAAAATAGGTTAAAAGATAAGTCAAAAGAGTTAAAGGAGAGTGATATTTATCTCAATGTTTCTCACCTCTATGGTAGAAAATGGCGGAAGGGAAAACAACTTGGCCACCCACAGTTCAAAGTTGAGGCCAAAGCAGTTGAAAAAGGACCAGATATACACCAGCTCACATGGGCCCAGCCACAGGGTGGTGATAGCGAAGGTGCAGAAGGTTGCCAGGAGCTCCTTGAAGATTTTATCGTGATCGCCACCAATATAGTCATAAACATACCTGCAAAATAACAACTCAAGTTGAAGAATCAAAAACGTCTTCTATGTGCTGTAGGTTCTGTCATTTAAACACATGATTTCAAATTCACTCACTTGCACAGCCAGTCATTGATGCCTCTGTCAAAGTGCCTACAAAAGACAGACATTTTCTATGTGAACATTTTTACACAATTTCAATGTTCTGCATGGTCAGCAAAGACACTACACAGTGGTTTGATTTCACACAGCTAATGCGAGTCACACATACGTCTCAGCGAAGACGTAGAGCATGGTGATACACTTGGGAGGCTGAGGAGGGTCCAGGTGGTCCAGTGTAGCCACAGTGTTGATGACACCAAACATCACAGCTGCTTTCACCCAGTCATACACCAGGTTGGAATAAGCCAGACCAGCTGCAATGGTACACAGGAAAACAAAGGAAGTTGATGGTAGTTGTTGAG